CTTTTATTTTATGTGTTTTGATTTTACATTTTTGATTTTTGGATTTTGGCCCTCTTTACGGTGGTGGTAGTTTCTGAAGCAAATGGAACTTCAGAAATTTTTCAGTACACAGATATGGACTGTTGTGGGAATGGTGGAGTAAAGGAGTTCTTTGCAAATGGAGAACCTGAAAGACAAGCTGTTTGCTATAGTTATGGTTTTGGTGTCAGCCCTTTTGAATGCAACATCATGCTCCATCGGAAGAACATCCCTGAACAAACAAGCTGCAACTAATCCTAACTCAAATAAAACTACACCAAATTTTCTTTTCCTTTCCACAGTTAACCCTGCATTTTAATTGACTTCTTTGTGTAAGTGCAGGGGTGGGGCCAGGTGAGTCCTACAGCGCCTTAATTGCTTACATTTCACCTTTGTTCACCTGGTCAGTTCTCCTGGTTTACTTGCTCTCTCCATCTCTTAAAAGAAGCATATGTTTTCATTTTGTTTAGCCTATAGCTATCACTTTGTACTTGGTGAAATATCATAGTGTTAGAAGATAGTTTTCATCCCCCCAGAGATTATTTTTGTTTGTCTGTACTGAGTTGGGTGTGGTACAGTTAGGTGCTTCTTGTATGGTTATATAAGGAACTAGAGTGGTTAACACTCAGCTCAAAAGCTGGTAGTGCAAACCCATTAGCTGTTCCGAAGGAGTAAGATGTTGAGAGAAATGTGGAAACCTTATTGGGGTAGTTTTAAGGAACGCTGACAGCATAATGGCTATGAGCTGGGCTGCTAAGCGAGAAAGGTCAGAAGTTCAAATCTACCAGCTGCTCCGCAGGAAAAAGGTGAGGCTTTCTGCTCCTATAAAGATTTACAGACTTGGAAACTGTACACAGGCAGGGTTGTTGTGAGTCGGCACCGACTCCATGGCACCACCAGCATGGAGCAGTTCTACTGTGTCCTACAGGGCCTCTGGGAGTCAGAATCCCCTCAATGGCAGTGGGTTTGGCTTTTGGGCTTTGTATGGTTATATAGGTCAAATCTTGTTAGGTAAATGTAGCCTTTTAAGGTAAATTAGATGCTTGAATGTGTCTACAACTTCAGATAGCAAATGTAGAGTACTGTGGTTGCTGACTTTATTTTATTCTCTTATCTAATCCCCGGTCAGATAGTTCTTCACAACTGGAGAAAAATACACAGTTATGCTGTTGGGCCTTTCTTTAAATTAATGACCACTAGATTTAGCAGGAAGGAGCCCTGGTGGTGGTGTGGGTTACACGTTGGACTGATAACCTCAAGGTCAGCAGTTTGAATCTACCAGCTGCTCCATGGGAGAAAGATGAGGCTTTCTGCTCCCCGGTAAAGACTTACAGCTTCGGAAACTGTATGCAGGGTCGCTATGAGTTGAAACTGAGTCCATGGCACATAACCATTTCTTACATCCCCATATTTAACAGCATGGAGCCTTAGTGAGTTCACGTTGGGCTGCTAACTTCACGGTCAGCTATTTGAGTTCACCATGTGTTCTGCGAGACAAAGATGAAGCTTTCTGTTCCTGTCAAGATTTACAGCTTCAGAAACAGTGTACAGGGTCACCGTGAGTCGGAACCGACTCAACACACACATCCTGCCAGACTTAACAGTGAAAAAGAAGTAGACCCTCAGTGAGATACCCTGACACAGTGGTGGCTACAATGGACTCTTACCTAGCAATGATTGAAGAGACGCAGGACTGGGCAGTGTTTCAATCTGTTGTTACCTGCACAGGGCCACAGTGAGTCAGAACCCACTTGATGTCACCTAACAACAACAACAGCAAGACTTAACAGGGAGGAGCTCTGATGATGCAGTGGTTCAGTGCTTGGCTGCTAACTGAAGGGCCAGGAGTTCGAACCTAGCAGCCACTTGGTGGAAAGAAGATGACAGTCTGCTTCTGTAAAGATTTACAGCCTTGGAAACCCCATGGAGCAGTTCTACTTGTCTCTTGGGATCCCTGTTACTTAACGGCAGTGGGGTTGCTTTGGTTTTCAGACTTAACAGGGCCAGAATAGGGCTGTTTGCATATTTTGCACTGCCATTAGCAGCCCTCTTCCTTTCATTGAAAAAGTAAGAAGCAATCAAAAGGCAACTTGTTCTTTCTCGCTAACTAACCTTCCTGCTTCTGTACCCAATACTCTTCAGACTTCAGTTATCAGTATGCCCTGTCAGCATCTAAGGCTAGTCTGTGCACTCTAAATCTTACTCCTTATTTCAACCTGTGTCTGATGGTAATGATATTTATCACTAGCCAGCATTTAAGTATTTTCTGTGCTGCAGACATTGCACTGTGGCTTAATGTACTGGACTGCAAAGTTGGTTTGAACTGCAAGGTTGGTGGTTCAAGCTCACCATCGACTGCTTGGAAACCCTATATATATAGGGTCGCTTTGGATCAGAACCTACTCAACAGCACTTAACAACAACAACATGCAGCAGACATGGTGCTAAGATTATCCAGTTTAATCCCACAATACCCCTTTTCAGTATATTTGATGTAAAGGAAATGAGGCTTAGTGAGCTGCAAAAACCCACTGAAGATACAGGAAGTGGTAGAGCTGGGACTGGATCTCAGTGTGCCTGACTCCAGACCTAACGTCTGAAGAATAATACAGCACAGCTGCTAAAATCAAATCTGCCTGGAGATCCTTGTTGGCTGATACGTGTATGCACTGGTCGTTTATGTTTATAGAATGTTTAAAAGTATTTAAGAAATAATGTTTAGTTTTAGAAACTGGGTAAATACTCTGATTGCTAAGCAGTAATAAATATAAACAATATACTTTTTCTCTGAAAAGTTTGAGCAGAAAGTTAAATCATGGATCCTTGCCAAATGACCTCAGAGAGCTCTTGTGGTCTGCTTCATATAAACATGTTCTCACACCAAAACCGGTGAGCTGTTGCTATGGTACTGAAAATCTTTTGTGTGTGAGTACATAGATACCGATAATGCAGAGCTGAGGCTTGGCGTTCTCTGGGCTGCTTCTCAAAAGGCAGGCCCTCTTCTGAGGAAAGTGAGAGAGGGGTCCTTACCTTCAGTTTTTTACAGTTCACTTTGCAGTAGATTGTTGCTCTCCATGAAAACAGCTTCATGCTCAAAAACAGAAATGCTATGAAGGTGGATAAACCAATGAATGAAAACAGGTGAAACAGTGAAGCATCCCTAGCGCTACACTCCATTTTCTAGAAGACACAGTGCTAAGTCAAAGTTGGGGATTTAAATGATCCTCCCTATCTGGTTCTTGTCACATCATACTTACTCTACTGGCCCACGGAGGCAAGAGTCCCTGTACTGAAAGAGAGCTGTGAGTGAGTGGATGAGAGTCATCTGGTTTTTCTAGCAGCGCAAAAAGTTAATTGATAGAATTGACACTTCCCTTAAGATTCCAAATGCCTGTGAAGTGACCAGCAGCTGTCTTGTTGCACTTGCTGCCAGAGAAAGGGAGGTTCAGATTTCAGTCAGTATGCTGTACTGGGTGGGACTTAAATAGGAGTTACTGGACTGCAAAGTTGGTTTGATCTGCAAAGTCTGTAGGGTTGGCTGTTCAAGCCCACTAGCCGCTCCTTGAGCTCCCTGGACAGGGTCATTATGGGTTGGAACCGACTCAGCAGCACTTAACAACAACTGCCTTTACAGAATCTAAAAAGTTGTGATTCCCTGGGGGAGCTGATAAACATGATCTGAAGCTAAATTCTGTTCTTTTAAACTCAGATCATATACTAAAAAGTGATCTATTTATCTCTTTATCAGTTGTTGCTCTTAGTGCAGCTGAGTGAGTTCCGACTCATAGCGACCCTTTATAGGGTTTCCAAGGAGCAACTGGTAGAATTTAACCACCGACCCTACAACGCCTCAGTAGGAGTCCCTCTTTACCAGTAGGGACATGAATTTTGTGTTTTGAAAAAGGTTCAACATTCAAGACAGACTGTTGTCTATTCTGTTCTGGAACACTGCTGTAGGATAACATTTCCTAAGGTTCTGATTGTTCTCTTAGGGAACAAATGTCAGAAATTAGTCAGAAAATCAAAGCATTCCTGAATTCATTCATAACATGTGATAACATGTAATTTTATTGATTGTATCTAACATGAATGTATTCACACACAAAAGCATTCAGTATCATAGCAACAGCTCATCGGTTTAGGTACGAGAACATGTTTTACATAAACCAGACCACAATATGAATGAAACTACTAGTGTAGTGGTTACGAATCGGGCTGCGAACCGCAAGGTCAGCAACTCAAAACTACCAGCTGTGTTCCGCAGGAGAAAGATGAAGCATTCTGCTCCCGTACAGATTTATAGCTTCGGAAACCCCGTACAGGGTCGCTATGAGTTGGAACCGACTCCATGGCACATAACCACCACCAGCCACTAAGTTTACATATATATTTAATTTTTACCACAACCTTGTGCTATAGATTTTGATTTCTTATAATTTAGGATTGTATGAGTCTTTCCTTGGATTTTGCTTTAATTTAAAAATACATTTTACTGCCAGAAATTGAAAGTGTGTTTACAATTCAGACTTTCCCCTCCCCCAATCATCTTGACTTAATTACTTCCCTGCCCCAATTTGATTAGATAAAATTGTTTTAACATTTCAAGAAATAATTGAGGTGGTTTTTAGGAGAGTTTGTGAACATAGAAATAAGATACGAAGTGACAGGGATAGACCATTTAGTGTCCCTTCCTTAGGGTTTTCCAGTTTTTTTATTATGTTCATTTATTTTTGAAAGCTTTGTGTCATGACCTCTTGCATTTTTATTTTCCATTCCAACATGTGTTAGCTCTTAAATGGAATCATTTCATTGGTAATTGCAATGTTTGGGAGATGCTTTGAACATACCCAGCTTTGTTCCCAAGCAACTGTCTGGATTAAATTTGGGATTGGGCGCTCATGCTGTGAATTTAGAAATCAACTCTTTTGAGTTTAAAATATGAATTGTCCTTTATTTCATTGTTCTTTTAAAAATAAAAACAGGCTGCAGATACTTTGGCTGTGAGGCAAAAAAGAAGAATTTATGATATCACCAATGTCTTAGAAGGAATTGATCTGATTGAAAAAAAGTCAAAAAACAGCATCCAGTGGAAGTAAGTTACAATCAATGTCCTTTTAAAAAAACACCTATTTTTTTCTTCTCAGTGCTCAGTGTAAAATCTGACCTTTTTAACATTCCCAAATTCTTTACTTCAGCCCTCTGCCACACCTCACTTTTCTCTGGACTTACCTCGGCCTCCATATGTGTATTTCATCCTCATTTTGGGATTGTTCCTTGCTCTCCCTTGTTGTGTTTTATATCTGTAAAGTTCTAATATTACTTTTTCCCTTAAGCTATTCATTTGGCTCCACTGCACACATCTTTATGTTTATTAATCCCTCTCTACTTAAATCTTTTTTCTTTAACTTTTTATTGTGAATTGAGAGGTTTCCAGCACAGACTTTGTGTCATTACTATGATTACAGTCCACTCTGTGTACCGTCAGTTAACAGTATTTACCTCTATTCACTTAAGTTTTTTCCTGTGGCGCTGTGGGTTAATGCGCTGTACTGTAAAGTTAGTTTGAACCACAAGATCAGCGGTTCAAGCTCACCAGCTAGCTGCTCCTTGTAAACCCTATATAGGATCGCTATGGGTCAGAATTGACTCAACGGCACTTAACAACAACTATCCACCCACCCTGCAGCATCATAGAATGTTTCATTTCGCAAGAAGATCTTAACTTTTTACAACATTGGTTTCATGTAATATTTGTCCAATTTATTACTTATTTCACTCATCTTAACATCCTCCAGGTTCATCCATGTTGTGAGATGCTTTTGCACATTCTTAGTTATTCCATTGTGTGTATGTACCAAAGTTTATATAAACGTTCTTCTGTTGATGGACATTTAAGCAGTCTCCATCTTTTTGCTATTGTGAATACTTCTGCAATGAATATGGATGCGCATATGTCTAGCTGTGTTACAGCTCTTATTTCTTGAGGATATATACCAAGTAAAAGAATTGCTGGGTCATACCGTATTTTTATTTACATCTTTTTGAGAAAGCTCCATACCATTTTCTACAGTGGTTGCTCCATTTTATAGTCCTATTAGTACCTACCTATGTCTTTTATCTCCCTAACTAGAATGTTGTTAGTTTGTTGTTATTAAGTGCCATTGGTTTCGACTCCCAGTGACCCTGTTTCCGAAGAGCAACTGGTAGGTTTGAACTTCCGACTTTGTGGTTAGAAGTCTATGCTGGTCCTATAGGACCATACCAGGAGCCCTACTACTATACTTGAAAACAGGAACTGTTTTATACACAAGTGGTTTGATTCCAATTTATGTTGTCATTTGTTAACTATTGTGTGGTTTAATGTTTAACTATGACAATCAGATAATAATTTTGTTCTTCATATTTGGACCCTTTGATAATTACAGGTTTTGTTTTTTCATGAAATTATAACAAAATATTTAAAAGTTGTAGTTTATTATACTAGTATCTCAGTCTGCATCATAAGAATGCCAAGTATGACAATTTCACTTTTACCCCCTCTTACTGTCTCAGTCACCAGCCTGGCCTTGAACATGACAAAAACTCATTAAAACCCATTGTAGAACATACTGAGAATTTTTATAATTTGATTGTTCTTGTCAATAAATTTTCTAAGCAAGTATGTTCTGCGTTGTGTTTACATTTTTTAATGATTTGAATACTGGATTTTTAGGGGATAGTATAAAGATTTTGTCTTGAAATTCGTAACAAATATTACTACAATAAAAATTAAGTTTATGTTAACCTGGATCTGATACTGGGCATGTTAATTCTTTCTTTTTTTCAAGTTTTTACTGTGAATTGAGTGATAGTTACATGGGAGAACATCAGTTTTATACTCATCATTTCATTGCAGTTATTACAATCTCCTCCATGCATCATCATTCAGCAGTATTTGCTTCTATTCCCTATTTCTTTTTGGGGGGATTTACACAAAAACACTAAGGAATATATAATCATTTAAACAACCAAAGGGCTCATTCTGCAAGCCTGGCTGCCAGCACACAGCTGGTCTCTTCCCATAAGTTTAGAGTCCTCAGCTGCTCTATCTCTCCATGTTCTCAACTCTGCCTCCATCTCTGGCGTCGCTGCTTCTCTGGATAAGGTCCCATATTTCTGCTCATGCTCGTCTCCCTTGATGGTCCCAGGGTCCTCTGTTCCTGGACTGTAAGAGTAACTATTCTTTTTGCTACAAAACTTCTACCTTTACAGTTGTGACAATTACAATTAGTCATGATAACAATTACTCACTATTGAACCATCTCTTTCCACCAGACCCTTCTACACAAGATGAATACTATTCAGCGGGGATTCTATCTTTCCCCACACCCTCTGAAACTAAACTCCCTCTTGAAAACTTGTAAGCCAGTCACTTCGTGCCTTTATAGCCCCACATTTTAGGTAGCCAATGTGTAAGTTGCCCATCCCTATCAACCCTGTATACAGAATGGAAGGGAATGATACTTGATGTGAAGATTCCTTGGGGATATTAATATTAATTCTTATATGTTTTTAAGAGGTGTAGGTGCTGGCTGTAATACTAAAGAAGTCATCGATAGATTAAGGTATCTAAAAGCTGAAATTGAAGATCTAGAATTGAAGGAAAGAGAACTTGATCAGCAGAAGTTGTGGCTACAGCAGAGCATCAAAAATGTGATGGACGACTCCATTAACAATAGATATCCTTTTCAATGAGTTATACACACTTGTAAAAGACACACTTACAGAATCCTCTTTTCCAGTTTGAAGGTCAGTTTCTGTATGTTAGTGGTAAGTTTTTAAACAGTAAATATAACATTTGAATTTTGTAACATTCTAATAATTTATACTGGCATTATTATTATTTTTTTTAGCTTTTTAAGTTATATGTTACTCCCATTGCCATGGAGATAAGAAAAAACATTCATCTACTCTGTCTACCCATTGATTGGATTGCAGTATGCTATCCAAAAGTATGCTTAGAGGATCTGGAAATATTAGAAACCACACTGTTAAGTGCGCTTACAGTTAACAGAGGCATATTTGTTCATTTTTCTAAGCAATAAAAATTAAGCAGTTCTCAGTGTTTTGCAAAACGGATTTTGGTTTGAAAATGAAATGCCACGGGTCCACAATACTTTCTGCCTAATATTAACCCAAAGATAGTACCAATTGCAAGGGTGGGTCCAAGGCTTGTGTACGTTTCATATTATACTAGAGGGGAAACAGTGTGAAGTATTCCATTTGTCTTGTTACTATTAAGTCCCATTGACTTGATTCCAACTCATAGCAACCCTGTTTAGGGTTTCCAAGAGCAGCTGGTGTATTTGAACTGCTGACATTGCAGTTATCAGTCCAGTGCTTATCCTACACACTACATCAGGAATCCTGATACTTATCTTAGATACTTGTAGTTCTCTTGATTTATGAACTTACCAGTACTGTTTTGGAAACCTTTAATTAAGTGTATGTAACATTTCAAATATTGCTTCAGACTTGGTGAACAATACAGAATCTCACTTATCATTTCCTTTCTGCGAATCAGCTCTGTAGCAGTTTGTTAACAATGTGTGTTCTCAAGCTGTATTCTGTGGAATCTCGCTTCCAATTCCCCCAAATCACCAAAAATAGTCTCAGTGTGGGGATGTGGCGTATAAGGTTGCTCTCCACTACTACAGGTAGTCTTCCTTTCCCTATCCCTACTCCTCCTCAAAAGGAGCTCCTAGTGGTTACGAGTTGGGCTGCTAACCTCATGGTCAGCAGTTTGAAACTACCAGCCGTTCCTCTGGAGAAATATGAGGCTTTCTGCTCCTGTAAAAACTTAACAGCCTTGAAAATCCTATGTAGGGTCGCTATGAGTTGGAACACCACCACGGCCACCACTGCTTCTTCTCAAGGAAACTACTGCCTCCACGAGGAATGTTTCCTGTTTGTCCTCTCTCCCCCAGAGTCCTCCGCTGCCTCAGAAATCAGAAGTGGCTTCTTCTCAGAGCAAAGTATAGCAGACCATTTCTGCCTTTCAAAGTGAAGAGTTCTGTTCTTTTTAATCTGTGTGTGATACCCCCTTCATGCATTTAGTCTTTTGATGCATTTTGGCCTTAAGATTTGTCACCTTAATTTAAATACATGTTGTTGTTGTTAAGTGCTGTTGAGGTGGTTCTAACTCACAGTGACCCTGTATAGGGTTTCTGAGGAATGGTGGGTGAGCTTGAACCGCTAACTTTGCAGTTAAAACCGACATTGCAGTCCAGCACATTAACCCGCAGCACCATACCAGGACTCCAATTTAAATGCCTAGACCTTGATTTAAATTCTGTTCCTTAACTTTCTATGACAGTACGTTTTCCTATGTAACTCATGAAGACATCTGTAATTGCTTTAATGGTAAGTACCGTTAGTAAACTTACAGTCTTCCCCGATCAACTTATTTAATGTAGAGTGATTAAAAATTCTCCATGAACTAACACTTTTGCCATTTTCAGTAGTCGTGGTGTACAGAGTTGTGTAAACTTTCAGGTTTGTTTTCATGACAGTCACCACTTTTCACAGCGTTTACATTTGCCTCCATTCATACGTACAAGATGTGTGTGATCTGGAGGAAAGCTCCAATTCCCATTCCCAATGCCATCTAGTTGATTCCAACTCATAGCAGCCCTGTGTAGAGTTTCTGAGGCTGTAAGTCTTTATAGGCGCAGAAAGCCTTATCTTTCTCCTTCAGAGTGGTTGGTGGGCTTGAACTGCCAACCTTGCAATTAGAATTCCAGTGCTTATCTTACAGTATAACCTTGAAGGAAAGTTGTTGTTGTTAAGTGCCATCAAGTTCATTCCAACTCATAGTGACCCTGTACAGAGTGTCTGAGAGCAGCTGCTGGGCTTGAATCACCAACCTTGAGGATCAAAGTCATAAGAGTCAGTAACAGAACTTGAGCTAGAACATGGTCCCCATCAATTACTGGTCCAGCAACTATATGATGCAAGTGTATGGGTCACAAATGGAATCCAAAGAGTTACATCAACCCATTTTGTAATTCAGGAAATGATTGTTAATCTGTTCCTCCCTCATCTCCCTTGAAATGCCCATAGAATGCACTGATGAATAAAAAGAGAAGGAATTTTATACCCAGTATTATAACAAGAAAATGAAATTTTGCATATTCATTTATATTGTATCATTCATGCCCTATTAGAAGGACAACCTTGTGTATTACACACATACAAAAAAATTCTCTCAAGCACCCTGACTTCAAGAAGTTCACGAACAAAGTCCATTACTTTTTATTTACATTTTCCATGAACTTTTTGAAGCTCTTCATATGAGGCCTTATTGCTCTCCTTTGCCATGTCACCTGATCTAAGAATGTTTTGGGAAAGTTTTGTTAATCTGAAACTCAGTGGACTTTTATAAATTTTGCTTCAAAAATAAGTTTACTTAAAACTCAAGATTTCACTTTATCAGACCCAGTCTCTATTATTCCTAGCTTATTAAGTAGTTAGGTATTTCAAGTAAACAATGTTAGTCATTTTAATTAAAGTAATAAAGAAATTAAGAGTCTTAGCCTTAAGCCAGACTGAAGCTGTCTAAGTAATTGGAGCTATATTTGTTAGAATAATAAAGCTAATGTTGAGGTTGAAAGTTCAGCTGTTAGTCAAAGTGGGTGGTTCGAACCCACCAGCTGCTCCTCAGGTTGGGGTGGAATGGCAGGAAACATGGCAGTGTGCACCTATAAAGATTTTCAACCTGTGAAACTCTATGGGGCAACTCTGCTCTGTCTTATGGCATTGTTATGAGTCAAAATTAAGTTAATAGCTTACAACAACACTACTAAGAACTACTGATATATATATATATATATCGTATCTCATTTAACCCTCAAAACAAACCTATGCCATTAAATTCCCCCATTTACTGAATTAAAAACTGAAGCCCATGGTCCTGGGATTCAAATTTCTGCCCTCCAGAGCCCACACTCTGACCCCTATATTCCATGGTCAATAGTAGTTTCTAAAATTTTCAACTTTGGATATATTTTTTGTTTTTACCTAGGTGATACACTTTTGGCCATTCAGGCACCTTCTGGTACTCAGCTGGAGGTCCCTATTCCAGAAATGGTATGTAAGGAACTTTTGTAGAAGAGGGGAGAACTGACCTGTCTCAGGAGGACAAATATATTATTTTTCCCCTGAAAATGAGCTCATTGTGTGTAACATTTCAGAGTTCTGGCTTTCACGTTATTGATCTGAAAATACTTACGTTTGAATTTAAATTTCTTTAATGTTACAAAAAATTATAGGGGAAGTGACTTAATCATTTATTTTTAAATTTCACTTATTTGAGCTAGAAGTTATCAAGGAATGATTGATGATGTAATCAATAAACCTGAAAAATCTGTTAAAATGGAGTTTTAACTGATTTGAAATTTTTAGCTGATAATGAAAATTCAATTGTATTTTAATTTAATTATAATTTAAATACAGGCATACCTCTGAAATATTGAGAGTTTGTGATATCTGGGATCCAGACTACCACAATAAATCCAATGTCAGAATAAAGCAAGTTAAATGAATTTTTTTTGGTTTCCTAGTACATGTAAAAGTTCTCTTTCTACTACGTTGTAGTTTATCAGTGTACAATAGCATTTGAAAAAGTTTGAAATATTATGAGAATTACCAAAATATGACACAAGAGACTTAAAGTGAGACATACTGTTCAAAACTTGGTGATGACAGACTTACTCAAAACAGGGTTGCCACAAAACTTCAATTTGTAAAAAAACGTCAGCAAAGTGAAATAAAATGAGATATGTCTGTATCAACGTGTTAGATTACTTTAAATTGGGTCTTTTAAAAAGCATTTCTGGATTCTTTAGTCAAAAATGTTTACTGACTGTAGGCTATGTGTAAACTTTAATGATTTTAGTTTTCAGATTCAAATTTTTAAAAATAAATTGAAACTATAATCGACCAAAGACTATTATCTTCTCCCTCACCTATTCTAGAAGTTTGGATTTAGGCATATATATTACTGGATTCTAAAGCCTCAAGATAGAAATTACTCTTTTGACATGGATGTATATACATATATTTCTGTAGGTGAAATCAAATGAAAAGTTTTAACTTATGGTAGAATCATTGATTAAGTCAGCTTCCTCAGATAATGACACTCATGAGAGCCAGCTTAAGGGCATAGAGGCCAAACGTACAGAGAATGCTTGGAGCATTGCTGAGTACTAAACACAGCAGAAATGGATGGTTGCCAGTATTCAACAACTGAGAGCTTTTGATGATCTGCATTTAGGAAAAGCTTACCTTTTAGGGGCAGGTACTTTGTTTTTTAATGTATCAAATCTGTTCTTCAGATGATCTCTAAATTCAGGTGAGATATATTCAAGGTCATATTTTGGCTCTCGTGGACTTGTTTTCATTTTCTTCAACTTCAGTTTGAATATTGCATATAAGCAATCTATGGTGTCTGTTCCACAATCTACCCTTGGCCTTGTTTTGACTGATGATTTAGAGCTTTTTCATTATCTGTTTCCGCAGATGTAGTCAATTTGATTTCTGTGTATTCCAGCTAGTGAGGTCCACGTGTATAATTGTCTCTGATGCTGATTAAAGAACGTATTTGAAATGAACAAATCATTGATTTTGCAGAATTCTATCATGTAATCTCCAATATCATTTCTCTCATCAAGGGCGTATTTTCCAACTACTCATCCTTCCTCTTTGTCCCCAACCTTTGCATACCAGTCACCAGTAATGATCAGTACATCTTTACTGCATGTTTGATCAATTTCAGATTGAAGAAGTTAGTAGAATTCTTATATTTCAACCTCACTGGCTGTAGTTGTTGGTGTGTAAATTTGAGTAATAGTGGTATTAATTGGTTGTCAGATTCAAAATGGCCAATACCAGTCCATATCAGCTCACTACTGCCTAAGATATTGATGTTCATGCATTCAGAAGAGTTGTGGGAAGACATCAAGAACAAAAGTCATTACGAATACAAGAAAGAAGGAAAAGATGAAGATGCATGTCAGAAGAGACACTGAAACTTGCTCTCCAGCATAGAGATGCTAAAGCAAATGGAAGAAATGAGAAGATGCAAGAGCTGAACAGAAAATTTCAATGGTCAGCTTGAGAAGATAAATATTACAATAAAATGTGCAAACATCTGGACTGAGAAGAACACACTTAGCATTTCTCAAGCTTGGGGAGCTGAAGAAAAAATTCAAGCCTCAACTTTCCTTATTGAAGGATTCTCTGGGCAAATTATTGAATGATGCAGAAAGCATCAAAAGAAGATGGAAGGAATACACCGAGTCACTGTACCAAAAGGAAATGGTTGATATTCAACCATTTCAAGAGGTAGTATATGATCAAGAGCCAATGATACTGAAGGAAGAAGTCCAAGGTGCATTGAAGGAATTGGCAAAGAACAAGGCACCAGGAATTGATGGAATAAAAATTAAAATCTTTCAAGAAAATGAGGTGGTACTGGAGGCACTCACTCATTTATGCCAAGAAATTTGGAAGACAACTATCTGGCCGAGTGATTGGAAGAGGTCCACATTTGTGCCCATTCCAAAGAGAAATGACTTAACAAAATGCGGAAATCATAGGACAATGTCTTTGATATCCCATGCGAGTAAAGTTTTACTAAAGATAATACAGAAACAGCTGCAAGCATACATCGACAGAGAACTTCCAAAGGTTCATGCTAGATTCAGAAGAGGCTATGGAATGAGGGATATCATTGCTGACATCAGATGGATCTTGGCTGAAAGCAGAGAATATCAGAAAGTTGTTTACCTTTGCTTTATTGACTACACAAAGGCTTTTGATTGTGTGGATCATGACAAGCTTTGGGCAACATTGCGAAGTATCCAGTATTCCTGAACACTTAATTGTGCTCATGAGGAATCTGTACCTGGACCAAGAGGCAATTGTTCGAACAGAGCATGGGAACCCTGAATGGTTTAAAATTAAGAAAGGTGTACAACAGGGTTGTATTCTTTCACCATACTTACTTAACTTGTATGCTGAGCAGGTAATACGAGAAGCTGGGTTCTATGAAGAAAATGTGGCATCAGAATTGGAGGAAGATTCATTAACAACCTGCAATATGCAGATGATACAACCTTGCTTGCTGAAAATGAAGAGGACTTATTTTTAAAGTATTTATTGATGAAGATCAAAGAGCACAGGCTTTGGTATGGATTATGTCTCAATGTAAAGAAAACAAAAATCCTCACCACTGGACCAATAAACAGCATTCTTATCAATGGAGAAAAGATTGAAGTTGTCAAGGACTTCATTCTTTTGGGATCAACTATCAACACTCATGAAAGCAGCAGTCAAGAAATTAGACGACATATTGGCATTAGGCAAATCTGTGGCACAAAGACCTTTTTAAAGTGTTGAAAAGCAAAGATGTCAGCTTGAGGACTAAGGTGCACCTGAGCCAAGCTATGGTATTTTCAATAACCTCATATGCCTGTGTAAGCTGGACAGTGAATAAGGAAGACCGTAGAAAAATTGATGCTTTTGAGTTATGGTGTTGGAAGAGAATATTGAAAGTGCCACGGGCTACCAAAAGAACCAACAGATCTGTGTTGGAAGAAGTGCAGCCAGAGTGCTCCTTGGAGTCCAGGATGGCCAAACTTCGTTTCTCAAACTTCGGACATGTTGTCAGGAGGGACCAGTCGCTGGAGAATCATACCATGTTTGGGAAGGTGGAGAGGAGGATCCCTGAGAGATGGATTGTCAAAGTGTCAGTATCAATGGGTCCACGCGTGGCAACAATTTTGTGAGGTTGTCCCAGGATCAGGCAGTGTTTTGTTCTGTTGTGCATAGGGTTGGTATGAGTCCAACTCAATGGAACCTAACAACAACTCATAGCTACCCTGTAGAGTTTCCAAGGAGTGGCTGTTGAGCTTGAACCACCGACCATGCAGTTCAAACCAACTTGTGGTCCAGCGCATATTATCCAACTGCGCTGCACCAAGACCCTCAATACCCTAGTCTGTCTTTGGTCTCTAGTGTTTTGACTCAGTGAATTCATTTTGCTATGTTAATTTAATTAGTCCTGAATAACTTTGTATGCCTTATTTTTAATGTAATACTAAGATTTAAGGTAGCTGGAAATAATAATACTTATTTTTTTATACCCAATAACTTTTAAGGGCCAGAATGGACAAAAGAAATACCAGATCAACCTAAAGAGTCATTCAGGACCCATCCATGTGCTACTTATAAATAAAGAGTCCAGTTCCTCGAAGCCTGTGGTGTTTCCTGTTCCTCCACCTGATGACATCACACAGCCCTCCAGTCAGCCCTTGACTCCCGTGACTCCACAGAAACTCAACACCGCAACTCAGAATCAGCCTGAGCAACATGTCTCCGAAAGAAGCCAAAACCTTCAGCAGACTCCAGTTACAGACATAGCTTCAGGTGGGCTTGGAACCTTTGTTTTAAACCAGATGGTTGGTTGAGTTTCTGAATTTATCAGTTGTGACAATTTTTTTTTTTTTGTAATATGTAATTCAGGAAGCAAAAGAGTAAGATTAATGTAGTCAGCAAATATTAATTTAGGATCTCCTCTGTTATGAGGAAAGTTTAAAAGCCATTCCTAGCCTATATTACTACAGATTTTTTTCATAAGTCAAATATACATAAACAAACATAATTCACAGCAATATATAATCAGATCCTATATATTGTGTCTAGAATGATGACTGTAGAGGGAGGAAAGATCTTTATGGACCAGCGTTCGCTGTTTTCCATTGTCAGTAATGTTAACCTCCTTAAGGAAAAAACAAAACTAGAACCCTTTCCTTAATGAAAGCCAAAGGAATTACTGAAGCCAGAGTAGGTAGGTGTTAACTAGTGGAATGAATAAAGAGGGGGAGTCCTTCATGGCTCCTTGAGAAATGCTCACTTAGTGTAAGCTGAATTTTTTTCCTTTTTTCTTCTGTGTTTATTATTTACATATGTCATTAAGTTTATTAGGCTTCTTTTTCTTTTTTTCTTAATCCTCTTAGTAAGTCTGGGTTCTACTATTTGAATGTATTCTAACTAACTACCTTTAAGAAGAATCAAACCTAGTGTAAAGCACAGTGGCTTATGCGCCATGTTTCTCTATATTCTTTAGGGTTACACCGTCTATTTAGTTAGTTGTTTCATAGAGTTGATAAGTGGGAATCTTGCCTTCCTAAATGATTTCATCTATCAAATGATAAAAAGCTAAAACATTAAACACAGGGCATTAAGATTAGGGTACACATATCCTAAATTTATAAAAATGCCCTTGTTAGTCTTTTTCATTAAAGGTGGCTAGGTATTTATTGTTGGTGTTAAGTGTCACTGAGTGATTTTGACTCATAACAACCTTGTATAGGGTTTCAAGGAGTGGCTGGTGAGATTGAACAGCCAACCTTGTTATTCAACCTTACAGTTTAGTGCTTTATCCCAGAGCACCACAATGGGACTCTGATTAGGCATGTATTTAGCAACTTATTGATTCCAAATTTAGGGCCCGTGTATTCCCTCAGTGATTGATGGAAAGATGAATTAGCCATGTCACTCTAGATGTAATATGGCAGATAATTAAAAACTATATCACACATTATCCAGTTCTATGTTTTTACTCTGGGATGTGTCTTACTGGAATGCAGCATGAACTTACCACTCAGGGAGTAAACAGTTGTGACAAGTGATGTTGAAAAGATCTAACAGGACAAAAAATATTTTCATTTATTCTCCTACATGTTCTTCCCTGTTTTGATGTTAAGTGCCATTGAGTCGGTTCCAACTCAGAGCGATCCTGTATAGGGTTTCTGAGGCTGTAAATCTTTGTAGGAGCAGAAAGCCTTGTCTTTTACTGCAGAGTGGCTGGGGGACTTGTGGCATGCAGTCCAGTGCTTATCATACAGAGCCACTCCCTTTTTTACTTCCCCCATAATATTTCTATGTTGTGAGTCCTGGTGTGGTGCTGTAGGCTAAGCACTCAACCACAAGATTAGTTTGAACTTCAAGGACGGCGGTTCAAACACACCAGCCACTCCTTGAGTGTTTTAACCGCTTTCCTTGCAGTTATAGAAAACCCTATACAGGATAGCTATGAGTCGGAATTCACTTGACTGCACTTAACAACGATGACAGACGCAGGTCATGGGAATGTACAGTAGAAGGTGCAGTCTTCTAAAAGCTTATAATTTAATTGGGACAAGAAAAAAATAACAGGTTGGCTTTATTGGTATGTCTTAGACACAATCAGTATATTGACTTCCAAAAAGTACTAAAAAATACTTGAGCTATTAATGTTTGTGTATTTGCTTTGGAAATAGTAGGGAAGGGAAGGGATCAGATGAGAGAAGGCCTTGAATATTACTTTATCTCCTAAGCTGTTGAAGGTTTGTGACCTCAGAAGTAACACAATCGAAGTGTACACATGTGGACATTTGTCTCCATGATTCTGAGACTAGAAGTAGACAGTGCCCGACTACCACTATCTACTGCCCTGAGAGGGTCTTGGCTAGAGTGGGAGAAAATGTGGAACAAAACTCAAAATTACTTAAGAAAAATAGAAAAAAGGCCTGGTCAGAAAGAGACTGGAGGAACCTGAGACTGTGGCTCTCGATCACCCTTTGGCTTTCACCCTCGTGGTCCGATTTTTAGCCAAGTGTTAGATAGGTTTATAGTGGGGACACCACCACTAGTAAGATACGCTCTCCATTCAAAAGCAAAAGAGCAAGATTTTCCTATGGACAAAGATAAGAAGGTGGTTGGAATGAAAATAGGAATACCTGGGAGCGAGCAGGCTATCTGTTGTTGCATGGATGGGATTGTAATCACTGAGATGAAACAAAGTGTCTGATTTGTTGAATGTACAGCAGATGATCTGGTCTGTAAATCTTCATGCAGTTCACAATAAAAAGATTTTTAAAAAGTACACACATGGTGAACATAGGAGTAACATGATTAAGATGGTACACTAGTTAGGAGCTCTGGTAGCGTAGTGGTTACGAATCGGGCTGCGAACCTTAAGGTCAGCGGTTCGAAACTACCAGCCGCTCCGCGGGAGAAAGATGAGGCTTTCTACTCCCGTAAAGATTTACACCCTCGGAAACCCTGTACAGGGTCGCTATGGGTCGGACCCGACTCGATGGCACTTAACAACAACAACAACAAGAGATCAGGGCCTGTGGAGAATGGTGAGTGTGAACTGCTGACTTTATGGTTCAGACTGATACTGTTGTTAAGTGCTATTAAATTGGTTCTGACTCAGTGACCCTGTATATGGTTTCCAGGGAACAGCTGGTAGATTTGAACCAATCTTGTGGTCCAGTGCTTTATCCCACAACACCACCTAAGAGGCATTTAATAAAGGTTAAAAATGAGGATGGAATAATTGTTTTGTGGCCATGAAAATGTTACTAATAAATTAGGAATGACTGGTTTATGTAAGTGATGATCTGGATTAACAAGTAAATAGTGTACTTGCATGGAAGAATGGTTACAATCAGAAAGTGGGAGCAAAACAGATAACAAGTTACCCTTTGTAACCTTCATCTTGGCCTGACTTAGGTTTTCAGGAGGGAGTTGAAGTATATTTCATGTATTTAAAAGAATTCTAGGTGGTTTGGTAATGACATTGAATCCTTAAACCCTCTTCCTTCTGAGTTACAGTAGACAGTAAGGGCAAGAGTGAGAGTGAAAAACTCCCATCAGTTGGGTTTTTGAAGGATATTGCCCTGCTGCCTCCATTAACAATTAGGCGAACTGCTGACCTTGTGGCTCACAGTCTAGTGTCTACCTCCTATAGTGCTACATTAGGAGTCCCAAGAATAGGAAGAGGAAAAGGTACTGGACAAAGCAAAACCTGTGCCCAGTCATAGAGAAATTAATTTGTCATCACAGTAATTTGGAAGACAATATTCTACATTAGAAATGGAAACACACAGGCCATACAAATTATCAACATAAAAATTAGTCTGCTGTATTTGGTCACCACCGGACCAATAAACACCATTCTTATCAGTGGAGAACAGATTGAAGTTGTCAAGGACTTCATTCTTGGATCAACTATCAACACTCATGGAAGCAGCAGTCAAGAAATCAGACCACTGATTTGCTGCACAAGACCTTTTTAAAGAGCAAAGATGTCAGCTTGAGGACTAAGGTGCACCTGACCCAAGCCATGGTATTTTCAGTAACCTCATATGAATGCGAAAGCTGGAGAGTGAATAAGGAAGACTGTAGAAGAATTGATGCTTTGAGTTATGGTGTTGGAGGAGAATATTGAATGTGCCATGGGCTGCCAAGAGAACAAATAGATCTGTGTTGGAAGAAGTTCAGCCAGAGTGCTCCCTAGAAGCCAGGATGGCCAAACTTTGTCTCTTATACTTTGGACATATTGTCAGGAGGGACCAGTTGCTGGAGCAGGATATCATGTTTGGTAAGGTGGAGGGTCAGAGAAAAAGAGGAAGACTCCCAACGAATAGATTGGCAAAGTGGCAGTATCCGTGGGCTCAAACATGGCAACAGTTGTGAGGTTGGCTCAGAGACTGGGCAGTGTTTTGTTCTGTTGTACCTACTGTCGCTATAAGTCAGTACCAACTCGATGGTACCTAACAAGAAGAAATATTTGGTCAGACATTTAATTAACTCAACCCTAATGTGATGGCTGCAGTCCTGGTGTGGCACTGTGGGTTAATGCACTGGATTGCAAAGTCAGTTTGAACTGGAAGATCAGCAATTAAAGCTCATCCACTGCTCCTTGGGAACCCTATACACGGTTGCTATGGGTTGGAGCCAATTCCAAGACACTTAACAACAATGTGATGGCTAGAACTGTGGTTGCCTGGCAAGGCCAGACTGAATACTTTTGTTCATGTAGAGTGGGGGGGTATGTTCTCCACCCCTACTCTACATGATGAAAAGAAGTAATCAGTAAAATATCCAGGCTTTAGATGGATTCCAAGGGTTCCTGTTGTAGGTGCAATTTTGTGCCCTCTCTCCCCTCTTCTGCTTGGTAAGTCTTGTCAAGTAATTTCTGACTCATAGCAAGGCTGGAAAGCTTTATGGGAGCAAAGTTTCCTTTCTCCCATGGAGAAGCTAGTAGATTTTTGGCCACCAGTCCAACTACACTCCCAGGGCCCTTAGTGATAGTAGTAAGCACTGTCTGTTGTCCTTTTGGTTTAATGGAATGTTCTGTATGTTCTGTACTTTGCTTCTTAAATGTTAAGTGCTGTCAGGTTGGTTCCAACTTGAGTCGTGGACATTGTGGTTAGCAGCCCAGCGCTTACCCTACATTGCTGTGCCAGGATTCCTTCTTAAATACACAAATACCTTAAAAACTGTGTTTTAAGTTAAGAGGGTAAGTTTGAAAAACTGGGGGGAGGGCCTGACCCTTATTTGATTCTTGGAATTTGCAGTGGAGAACTGAGAACAAGAAATTGGTGAACTGTGGTATTGCAACCCAATGTCATTATGCCTTGTAAATAGGTAGGCCCATGAGGTTGAGGATTGCAATGTCCCATAAACATTTCAGGCAAGGGAAAAATCAACAGATGTACTTGGATATCCTTTAGTGAAAATGTCCTAAACTGTTTGTTGCCTCAGTTTTCAAATCAGCCTATTTAAGATGTTTTATTCTTCAACGTCTATGGAAAAGCATTCATGTCATAATCTTAAGATATTAGGAAGAGGATCCCAGTAGAAACATGAGCACCAGAGCCTTGTAGTAATCCCTGTTAGGTTCAGAGTGAGAACTTCATCTTGGATTGATGGAGTGAGCACCAGTGTCAGATACCAACATCTCATGTCTTCAGTGTTGTCTAGAACCACCAAGCCTATGCCACTGTATACTGTACCTGAATTCTTCCAATTCACATCAGTAACCTTAACTTCCGAACACCTTACATACTGATTTTAAGAGTTATTCTTCTTATCTACTGGATAGTTTTATTACTGAATGACGCATTGTGATGTACACACTTGGGAGACTCAGGATTTCCTCCAGTTTAAAATTCATGATTATAGGTTTTGTTTTTCTCCTCCTCTTAAGGAGCCCTGGTAGCACCATGGGCTAATCAGTGGACTGCTAACCACAAGGCCAGTGGTTCAAACCCAGCAGTTCTGCAGGAGAATGATGAAGCTGTCTGTTTCTGTAAAGTTCTACATCGCAGAAACTCTATAGTCTGCTCTAACCTGTATGGTCCTTATGAGTCAGAATTGACTCATTCGCTCGCAGTGGGTTTGATTTTTGTTGGTTGCTATGGGTCGGAACCGACTCAATGGCACTTAACAACAATACTCAATTTGCAACATTCCATTTAGGGAAATTATCCAGTATAATCAGTATTTGTTTCCAAAGTTTTGGTACTTTAACTTTGAATTGTCAGTTAATATGACTGCCTATCAGTTTAAATACAACTGCCTCTATAACAGAACTTCATTATATTTCTGTTTCCAGCAGGATCTATTAGTGGAGATATCATTGATGAATTAATGTCTTCCGATGGTAAGTAGTTTAAAAGATTCCTTGTGTGTGTGTGTGTATGTATATATATATGTATATGTATATATATATATATATATTTACACACATATATATATATACAGGGTCGCAATGAGTCTGAATCGATTTGATGACATTTAACAAGAGTTTAAGAGCATGCTTCATGAGCCAGTCAATACAAACACTGTTTTTACCTGGTGCCTTCACTCATCTTATCTGACCCCCCTCATGGAATCTAGTATAATCTTAAATGTGGCCATTCACAAACCACTACCTGCTGTCTTATCACTTGCAATTTAGATTCAGTTCTTTAAATGACGTAGGAACACTGGAGAAGTATGTGTCCAGAGGCCCCACCTTCCTCAGGTCAAGTCTGTGCCAGTTTAAGGGTCTCTCACACTAAATGCCTATTATTTTGACCAATAGGTTACAAGTGTTCCAGTGCCATGAACCACTGTCAACTATTTTGTCGTTACCTTAAATGTCGAGTCAGTTCTGACTCATAGCGACCACGTATAAGATCCCTGAGGAGTGGGAGTGGCTGGTGGGTTTGAACCACTGACCTTGTGATTAGCAGTCCAATGCTTATCCTACAGTGCCACAACAGGACTCCATTTTAAAATTCAATTAGGAGGAATTCCAAAGTTTTCAGTTTTTTTTTCTTCAGTATTAAGTTATGTTATGTTCCAAATCAGGACAGTGAAGACTACAAAGCCAGATGTGGAACAAAGCAATAGAGAAAACTGTTCTGGTAGAAAAACGGCTGTTTTGGTGCTAATTTTTACTAGCAGAGTAGCGTAGTGGTTATGAATTGGGCTGCGAACCGCAAGGTCAGCAGTTCGAAACTACCAGCTGCTCTGCGAGAGAAAGATGGGACTTTCTGCTCCCGTAAAGATTTATAGCCTCGGAAACCCTGTTCAGGGTCGCTATAGGTCAGAACCGACTTGATGGCACTTAACAACCTTTAGAATATGACATTTCTTCAGTAGCTCCACCAGCTATTAGAGTTGCTGTCTGCTCTTTCTGTTCTCTCATGCAGCGTTGCTTCCGTTACAGCCAGCTCTGTGTTAGCTGTTTTAATTGGCTCTTTGGGGGTGGGCGAGTCTTGATTTGTATTAGTTGTCTTGCTCTGTGGCATACATACTTCCACGTTTACCAGTTTAAAGTTAATAATGGGACGTCACTGAAGTATTCTAATATTAGCCATCATCTAAACTGAAAGAAATTTTTAAAAATCAGCTACAATAAGCTCAAAAATGTGTAGCACCTTTCTATGTAAACTCTTGGATTCAGATCTTGCTCCGAAAACAGTAAGAGACCTAGGAAGTGACAGCCTGAAGTTAGCAAATGGTACCGTACCACTTGTTAAGTGCTTCCCAGGCAGTGCCAACTCATAGTGACCCTGTATAAGGTTTCTGAGGAGCGGCTAGTAAGTTGAACTGCTGACCTTGTGGTCCAGTGTTTTATCCTGCAAACGTTGATGTAGAAGCAGAATTTTAATCCTGATTTCTGTGACTAATATGTATAATTAATGCAGTCTTTACATTAAAACATCATTTGATTATATCATTAGTTTTCCTCTTAAATAGTTGTAAAAATTTATATGTAACATGAGGAAGAATTTAATATTGAACATTGCCCATATTTTAACACTGAATTTGTATTTGCTTGCAGTGTTTCCTCTCTTACGGCTTTCTCCTACCCCAGCAGATGACTACAACTTTAATTTAGATGATAATGAAGGAGTCTGTGATCTGTTTGATGTGCAGATACTAAATTATTAGATTCCATGGAAACTTGGGACTGTTTATCTACCTCTAACTATGTAACATTTTAGGCTTTTCAATAACCTAAGTATTTAAAATAATGAATGTAACACCTTTTTAGTTCACTTGATTCCAAAATGCTCTTCCCTAATACTTTTCTTTTTTACTTCACAAAATTTTAACCATAAAAACTAAGGGCTGATTGCTTCAGGAGATAAAAGTGATTTACTGCCATCCTGCCGCCCCCCCCCCCCCCCCCCCCCCCCCCAGATTGTTTCAAACCTTCTTCTCCCCAGTTCTGATTTTTTTCTCTTATGAGAGGGAACTTAAAGTAGACTTCAGGTCATCAAAAACAAAAATGTTGGTCCAGGGCTCATCACTTCTGTGTCTTATATTTTTACTGCCAGAAAACTATCTTTTGTGTCCTTCCGATCCAACGTTCACTGCCACATATAAAGTGAAGGATGTAAGTTAGGTCATATTCACTGTTTCAGTGGACAGATTTTGTGAAGTGCCTTCTGTTTTAGCACTTTAAGTTTATCACACTTGGTTGACTTCTGACATTCCACTTTCCTAGATTATAGGAAAGATCTCTTTATGTAGTTTGTTTTAAAATGTGCCAATGCCTGTACATTAACAAGATTTTTAAAAATAAAGTTGTATACAACATGAAATTTATTGGTCTTGTTTTCTTGGGAATTTGACATTTCACCACTGCATTACAACTGAGCCATTAATCTTGTAGCCTCGTCGATATTGAATGGGTGGTTTTCAGGCTGCTGCTGAGGAATCTGTACAGAAAAGAACTACTATTAAAAATTGAGAGAACTGAAGAAAAATTATATATATATACCCATTACCCAATTTCATTTCTTTATCCAATTTCATTTCTTCTAGTCCAATCTCTGGGAATAGAATAAATTCTCATATTCAGATACAGGTGATTTAGTGTCTGACTGACTGTTACACATACTATGGAACCAAGTACTTAAAAATTATAGTCAACTGACAGGTTCTGAAAAGTTGAGAGTGTAATGTATTAACCTTCTGTTTATATTTGAGCCAAACAAAAGCAAATGATTTGTACTTACCCGTTTTTTCTGCCGTGGTTCAAGGGAAAGGCCTTTCGAGAAATGCGCAAGTTCCTTTTGTATGTCTACAAAAGCTTTATTTACTCTGGTAACTTTTTCATTATTCACAATGCTTATCTTTTAAAAAACAAAAACCAAATATAAGATCCTCATAATCATTAAATTTAAAATACATTCAGACATTTAACTGAAAACTATAAATCCTACCCATTTGAAGAGATAATTCACTAAAATTCTTGTAGCCTTGGGAAATTTTAGAAAAAAGCTTAACAGTTTTTTAAATAAGAATTATACAAATAGCAATTATACATAGGCTTTGCTAGGATGGTTGTTTAGTTTCCCTCAAGTCTACACTAGGACTCCTTATCTGGTATGCCCACACCCAATGCCATCTTGTAATTCAGACTCATAGTAATCCTAAATTGTTAAGTGCTGTCGAGTTGATTCTGACCAATAGCGACCCTGTACAGGGTTTCTGAGGAGCAGGTGGTGAGCTTGAATCACCGACCTTGCAGTTCAAACGGCTTTGCAGCCTGGTGCATTAACCCACAGTGCCTAAGTAGGGGAGTAGAAAGCTGCATCTTTCTCCCAGGAGCAGTTGGTGGGTTTGAACTACTAACCTTACAGCTGATAGTCCAGTGACTCTAGGTGCTAGTGCTATGGTCTCACCTGTACCACCAACATTACAGTGTTCTTCTAACTACATCTCTGCATCTTTGACCTCAGGGAGATGTGGCATCTACCTCATCCCTAGCAACCCTCCTCTTCTAGTCTTAAGAGTTGTTCCTCTTCTCACTGCTGCTACCAAACCAGTTCTTTAAAACCCTCAAGAGTTCTTTCCTCCAGAGCCTGGAGAGATACCCATTTCTCACCACTGTTACACAGCAGTGCCACCATTACTCCTTTATGAAAGACTTTAAAATCTTGGTTTGCGGACCACGCAGTCGTCGTGTCTGCCAAGTGGCTTCAGCAAAAATTGAATCTTACGGCCTTAGTCTTGTGATATACTCATCTTAAGGGATCTTTCCCTCTAACCAACCTCAGCTTGTCACTCTTGTAGAATCTCCTTGGGTGTCATTAGTTGTAATGGCACCATTTACCAAGTCGATAAACAACACAACAACCTCAGTGAAACCCTTTCACACCAATTTCACTGTTTTCCACACCTTCATACCCTTTTTGCCTCAACCAACACAATTCCTTTACACTCTTAACGTTATTTCCTGGCTCTTTCCTTGATCAAACACCTGGTTATGCCCATTGTCAGCCTTTTCTGTGCCTGAAACTAAAGCTGTAGAATATGACTTTTAGCCAAGGTCTTAGTTATCTAGTGCTGTTATACCAGAAGTACGAGGGGATGACACTAACAAATTTTATTTTCTCACAGGTTAAGAAGCTAGAAGCCTGACTTCAGGGTGTTGCTTTTAGGGAAAGACTTTCTCAGCTCTAGAGGAAAGGTTCTTGTCTCTTGAGCTTCAGCTCCTAGGTGATCTTCATGTGGCTTGGGATGTCTTGTTTGTTTAATCTCTTATGTTTCTCAAAAGAGATAGACTGAGATACACCCTACACCAACCCAGTCTCATGAACATAATAAAGACAACCTATTCCCAAATGGTATAACCACAAGCAATTACTAAGTGCCTCTGAGTTAGTTAGAACTTGTGATGGTGATGGTTTTGTGCCTTGGAGTTGGTTCTGACTCAACAGTGACCCTGCATAGGGTTTCCCAGGTTATATATCTTTACAGCAGAAGAAAGCTTCATGTTTCTCCCGTTGAACAGCTGATAGTTTCAAACTGCTAACCTTAAGGTTAGCAGACTGACTTGTAACCACTATGCTACCAGAGCTCCTTAAAAATGAATATGCTCACTTATAAATGTAGACAGAAATATGTACACAATTTATATGAATAAACTGAAAACATACTATCTTAACTTCTTATCCTCCCTATATCGTATTACAAACACATGTACTTGTTAGTGCCTTTGAGTGGGTCCAACTCATAGGGACCCTGTACAGGGTTTCTGAGGAGCTGCTGATAGGTTTGAGCTGCCAATCCTGTGATGAGCAGTCCAGTGCTTCTCCTACAGCGATTTTCAACACATCTTTTTAGATGACACAATTCAGTCAATATTAACCACAAACTTCAATCTCCTGTCTATATTATGTTGGTAAGTACCGCTAAGTCGATTCCGACCCATAGCGACGCTGTATAGGGGTTTCCGAGGAGCAGCTGGTGAGCTTGAACTCCCGACCTTGAAGTTCAAATGGCTTTGCAGTCTGGCTCATTAACCCACAGCACCACACCAGGCCTATATTATTGTAGATGTTATGTGCCATCGAGTTGATTCCGACCCATAGTGACCCTGTATAGGGTTTCCAAGTAGCAGCTGGTGAGCCTGAACCACCAAACTTATGGTTCAAACGACTTCTACAGTCTGCTGCATTAGCCTACAGCGCCACCCCAGGACTCCAGGTCTCTATTATCGTACCTGTCAATCTTATGACTGTCCCTTAGAAAGTTAGCCCACATTCAGACAACTATTTCATACTTTCTCAAATCTCCAACTATTCCTCCTCCTCATACATTTTCCGCTCTTACGGTCTTTCCCATCAGCATACAATGAGGTTTAATTCCTCCTGTACAGAAGACATGGTTTTTCTCAAGGACACCATTTTTCTTGCTTGAAGCCTTTGCACTTGCTGCTCTCCACTCAGAACATGCTGCTCCCAACTCTTCCCAGCTGGATGAATGACAAGTTCATCATTCAGACAAAGGCTCTAAGTGTCAACCTTGTCAACTTTACTTCCTTTACAGCATCTATAAAGTCATAAAATTGATCAACTCAAAGACTCAGCTAGCTCACGAAAGGTAAAAGTTAAAAGTGTTTTAGACACTTGAGGGGGAAAAGAATAGCCAGAAATATCACCATAGAAAGCTTGTAAGTCTGTCTTCTGCCTATAACTGATTGGAATAACTAAAATGGGGCTACAACTTGCCCAGTGAAGGAAGCTTCCTGCGGAGCCTCTGCATTACATAAGACTATTGGTGGAATCCTGAACCCCATCCAGAATCTTCTGAGGCAGGAAATTTCCACTGAAAAGGACAAGCAGACCAGCCTGGAGTGGCTAGAAGAACAGAAGGTACTTCTTGAAAGAAAGACCAACAGGAAAAATACAAAATAATGGCAGTCTGACTGATTACTATAAGAACAAGCAAGCTGCTCGCCCAGGACACATCAAGCCAAGTGGTCAGGTCCCTTCAGGGCAATCCCCCTTCCAAGATTAAAACTCAATGGGAACACATGAGCAGACATGCTAGCTGATTGGTGACGATGTTTGTCACCGATAAGGGGAAGTGAGGGAAAAACAGCAAGGAAGCTGCGAGCTAAGCCCTACCACGTTCAATAGACTCCTGTGAACCCAGGTGGAGACCTGGTTGGCCAGCAGTATGGCAAGACCTGGGAACTCTTGGGCCCAGAGTCAGTAACACAGTCACAAAGAACCAGAGTGGAGACTGAAGTGTCCAGCTGATAAGAAGAGAGAGCATACGCAGAAAAACACCCACACTTGCAGATAATACCCACTTGACCTGGTTTCAATGACTGGATGATCAGAGCTCAACTAGAAGAAAGAAGAGGAAAAGAGTAATCTGATACAATCTGATGAACTTGATCTACACCTATGGATGCAGTAGCTCAAAAGAGAGAATAAATCTTTACAGCAAGGATCATTCCCATCCCCACTCCATACAGAGTAGACAGTGATGGGCAGGCAACTTGGACAATGGCTACCCAAAATGGGAGGGGCTACAAAGGCAAGAAGTGACTGGCTTACAAGCTTTCAAGAGGGAGCCTAAATTCAGAGGGCACGGAGAAAGGTAGAATCTCCAATGAGCAGTATTCAATCTGTCTGGGCGGGGCTGAT